CCCAGCCTGTCCTGGTGCATGGGGTTATTCCTCCCTGGGTGCAGGACTTGCCATCTCCCTTTGTTGAACTTCATGAGGTTCCTGTCAGCCCATTTCTCCAGCCTGTAGAGGTCTCTCTGAATGGCAGCACAGCCCTCTGGCGTATCAGCCATTCCTCCTAGTTTTGTATCATCAGCAAACTTGCAGAGGGGGCACTCTGTGCCCTCATCCAGGTCATTAATGAAGACGTTAAATAGTATTGACCCTAGTATCAGCCCCTGGGGCAACACTATGAGTGACTGGCCTCCAGGTGGACTTTGTTCCACTGACTGTGTCCTGTAAGCCCGACAAATTGGCAAATTTTCAATCCACCTCACTGTCTGTTTGCTTAGCCTATACTTCATCAGTTTGTCTATGAGGCTATTGTGAGAGACAGAGTCAGAAACCTCGCTAAGGTCGAGGCAAACAATATCCACTGGTCCAGGACTGTGAAATAAACTTACTGGGAAGATTGCCCTCCAGGTAGGAACAGAAGTTCTCAGCTTGCATAAAATTAGTATTCTCTCTGCATAAAGGACCTTTCTTCCAAAGATCTCAAAATCCTTCTTGGAGTCAGTTAAAATGCTGTCCCCATCTAAGGGCTCAGGAACGTAAAGCATAAATGAATCAAATGGGTTGCCTTAAGCATCTCTGCAAAGTCTAACCTGTCCAGCAGTACCTCCAGGGTCAGGATAAGAATAGCTGCTGGAGGGGAACTGAAGAGAGGAGGAGGAAAATGGGAGGCTCTGCCAAGGCACATCCTGTATTACTTTCAGACAACCACCAAAAGATCAAAACAAAAATTTCGTCAAAGAACTGAAACAAAATACTGACTGTCTTGAGGTTATTTTAAGTTGAAAGAAGACATTTACCAGCAGACTTGAAAAAAACCTTAACTCAGTATCTGTTACAAAGGAAAACACGTTAAGACACAAACTCATCTTCTGGAGTGTTCACACTTCTGTATGAGATAATGGAAACCTCACTCTGGTTCACATTTTTCTCCTTTCGTTGATTGTTCCAAGCAGCTCAAATTCCAGTCACAAATATAATTCTGGCCCCTAGCTGGGAGGCAGAGTGCTCCAGCAGTATTCTCATCCTTGCGGATGACAGCAAAGGATCAGCAAAGTGTGCTGGCTTTTTTTGCTGGTTCCTGGTGACATTTACAAACATATTGTTGTGGGGGTTTAGCTGCCTTTGGATTCTTCCCTTATTACAGGAACACAAAGATCGGTGGTGGCCTAGGGCTGGAAAAATTATTTCAAGACCTAAGGTCTCTGCTAGACTAAGAATTGCAAGGGAAAATTACTGTGGAGTCTGTGGGGATAAAAGTAGTGAGCATGGCATTTGTGTAGAAATGATGAGGGCATCATCCTGGTCCCAAACAGCATATAGCTCAGTGGAAGCATCGTCCAGACAGCATTAGAAATGTCTGACAAATCTATGAGTGTTTCTTTGCTC